CACTTTCTAGATAGACATATATAACAATTCAATGTGGAGAAGTTTTTGTTTTCTTCTATCGTTTGCAGATATAGTTACATAAAACATTCAAAATAGATTGCTATACTGTTTAAAATCCAGTAATACACTATTTTGCCCTGCTCTGCACATGCTCAGTTACTCTCTATTTTTTTGCACTATGCCGAAAATCAGAGCCAGTCCTATTAGGCACTAATATGATTTCAAAAGATGACAGTAGTTTGATTTACATATAAGTAGTTAGGGAAAAAACAGCTTCAAGAAAAACATCAGTATTTTTTCATATGAGTACATATGAGTAGTTAGGGAAAAAACAGCTTCAAGAAACACATCAGCATTTTATCATATTCATTTATAAAAAATACACCAAATCACAATTGAGCAATCTAGCTACACATACTGATATTTTCACTGCTGTATTTCTGAAATTAACATATAATCAATGTATAGTTACAGAACATGTTAATTGCAATATATGAAATATTGGTAAACTCCAAATTTAAAAACATTTCAAGAAAAATCTCACCTTTCTAGAAAAGATGGGAAGAGTGCCTAATTTTTTTAGTCTAATCTGTGATTGTGAAATTGATGAAATTTAAAATGGATACTTTATCTCTTTAGATTGTAAGCTCCAAGGATCAGGCCCTCCTAACCCTCTTGTATTGAACTGTATTGTTTCTGTATTGTCTCCTGTTATATTGTAAAGCGCTGAGCAAACTGTTGGCGCTATATAAATCCTGTATAATACTAATTATTAGTCAAAGAAGAAAGAAAGTAATGCTTTACTTTAGCTGCACTGACTATGCTTTATTTCAACACATTGTCCACATTCATTTGAAATATCTTCAGAAGCTAAAAGAAAAATAGATACAAAGTAGAAAAATAAACACAGGAGTTGAAATATAGCAGTTATAACATTTTTGTTAGCTTGATTTAATAATGCAGCTGCTTGCTTGTGAAGTCAAACAACTACATACTGTATGGGCAGCACAGTGGATAAATGGTTAGCACTTCCACCTAGCAACACTAGGATTGTTGGTTTGAATCCCAACCACAGCACCTCCTGCCTGGAGTTTGCTTGTTCTCCATGTGCCTACATGGGCTTCCTCCCACAGTCCAAAGACACGCTGGTAGGGTAATTGGATCCTGTCAAAATTGGCCCTTGTATGTTTATGTATGAATGTGAGTTAGGGACCTTAGATTGTATGCTCCTTGAGGGTTAGTGACTGATTTGAATGTACAATATATATATATGTGTGTGTGTGCATGTAAAGCACTATGTAAATTGACAGCACTAAGTCCCTGTAATAAACACATATTGATAATCAATATATTGAAAGTAATTCTGTCACTAAGATCAGTCTTCAGAATAAGTTGTTCCCTGCAAATACGCCATAGAATACACACATCCTCTGCTGGCCATACCACCCATGTCTACAGAGGCCACCAGAGCAGATAGGGGAGAAGTGGATGAGTGCTTTCTGAGCACTGCATGCTAAATTTAAGGAAATCCTTTTTTTAGAACAATTTAGTAGGTAACATTTTGTTTCAGCACAATGGTCACCAGGACATATGAATAGCATGAATCTACCCAATGGGCCACAGACTGCAACCAAATCCTGATAGGGTTTTTAAGCATTCTATAATCTAAAAAAATTAAGAATAATCTTAACTCCACCACACCCCATAACTTTAACTGTTTAACTGTAATAACAGGTACCAATATATCTGTTGATAGACATGGGCACGTTGGAAATTTTCATTTAGTTTAAGATGCATTTATTCATTGAATAATTTTGTTTCATCATATTCATTATGCTTACATTCATTTCATATATTTGTGGGTCTGAGTAGATTCTAAAATTGTGCCGTTGTTTCGGAAGATTGATATATATTCGATATATTATCGAATCGGACGGATTCAATATTTTCAGACCCTAGTCCAACCCACGAAAAGAAATGGCATGAGCTGATTGGACAATATCAATTGGCGTCGTGTGCATCCAAATTATTTATTTCAGGTACTTATATAGCGCTGTCAATTTATGCAGGGCTTTACATACATAAATACACAAATAAATAAAAATAATCATTAATAAATAATAAATTAATAAACACAATAAATGAATAATATTTAATAATAAATAAATAATAATTAAACCCTAACCTCAACCCCCTAACCCTAAAATGATTAATAAATTAATATTACTATTATTATTCTTAATAATAATAATCATCATCATAATAATAATAATATGAACCCTAACCTAATGTAACCTTAACTCTAAACCCTTATACTAACAAAAAAAATAATAATAAATAAATGATAATAAAAAAATAAATATAAGCTGATGGAAAAGCTAAAAAAAAAACACCAAAAAAACCTAGCAACAAATGCTGCAAAAGATTATATTTTTCTCTATTGGCTAATAATAAAAACCACCAAAGATCGAAAACATTTAAAAAAAACTGCATGGAAACGCGCAAAAACATGCAAAAATATGCAAAAAAAGCATGAAATATGCTCAAAGACATTACACTCACATGTGAGTCCAGCCCTAAGAGGACCTAAACTGTGGAATCTTTTCCCAATGCAAAAAGTAAAGAACTAACCATTAGTGATGGGTGAATCTGCTTGGAGTTGATTCAAGGGCAGTTTATGAACAGAGGAAAAAATATGAAAATTGTGAAGACCATGAAACACAATTGTACCCATTTTCAACTCTAACAGACACATTTCACTTAAATAATATGTTTGAACGATGCCTTAAACCTGACTGTGCAGTGGCACATCTATAGAATGTACTACAGCAAAGGTCAATTTAAAAAATAGAAAATAAATTGCAGCTAAAGGTTATTTGCCTGTGAATTTTGCAAGGGGACACCCCTAAATCAAACAAAGGGTATGGGCAGCTGGTCACTGAATGAAGGGGATTTGTACCAATGAAAACTAAATTTAAAAAAACATGTACAATCTCTAATATGTAAATGAATCTACCCACCAAGTAAAATGTGAGATAATATATACAATACCCAAAAAATACCCCAATAAATATCACTATAATCACTCCAATCAACAATTCGTGAAAATAAATAAAGTCACTACTAAAAAAAAGTAACTTCAAGAACAATAAGTGTCCACAATCCAACTTATCAGATCCTTTGATGCTGAGCCCCTCCACTGGCTTTCACCCCTTATAACTAAATCCCGGATGTGACGAAACTCGTCAAAGGAAGTGACGTCGGACGCACAGGAGAGGATCCAGAAGTGGCATGGTGGCCATCTTAGAGACTGGAACCGCATGTCAAACATTCTGGAAGCTGCTCGGCAACCCTGAGAGGTTTGAAGGGCATGGGAAAAATGCTTTTAATTCATTTAACATTGTAAGCATATTAATAAAGGTTTTATGTAACCTTGTTAAAACAGAATCACACTATATATTGCATTTATATATTACTTGCATGGACACCTTGGAGTCCTTGGGAATGTTTCCTTAAGCCATGAGGACACTCAGGATGGTATGGTGAATGATATCCAAAGGAATACGCTTCAGAAGTGGAGGAGAGGAGTGGAAGCGTGCTGCTGATTCCTATTATATTATAAGGCGTTTTTATTTGATTTTCTGGTAAAGGTATATATGCCTTGTACTGGAGAAATGTACACTGTTGTGATCATTTGCATTGCTGTATTCACAGAGTGAAGCACTATCACTTATTTGGCACAGTGTTCACTATTTTTGCACTATATGAATTTTTTGCACTTATTTTAACACTTTTGTATTTTAACACTTTTATACAGTTGTATACATTAAATAAAAAACACTCAGGGAGGAGCATCTCTTTTGATAAAGGTAAAAGAGCAACATTTCAAAATGTACAATTACTTTAAAGAACATGTTTGGGGGATGCCTTAAACCTGCATGTGAAGTGGTACACCTCTAATATGTACACAAGTAAAAGTAACATTTACAAAAAAATTATACACGTAAAATTAACAGCCACTAAATGACATTTCTCAGCTGCTTCATTCTTATTGTTAACAAAGTAGCTATGGATTCCCCTCATCCATGGAGTTTAGGAGGATCCTATGCAAAAGAACACAATAAAATGACATGAAGCCCTATTGGAAATGGATTGTAGACACTTCAGGTCAGGTACTGTATGGATTTTAGGAGAACACCCCACACACAAAAAACAAGAAAAAAGGAAAAGAGCAAGCATGCAGCCCCCCTCCTGAACCATACCAGGCTACAGTCCTTCAACATGGGAAGGGTATGTTGCCAAGGTGGCTCCTCTGACAAAGTACCTTGTCCATTTGTTGATGAGGATAAGGGACCCTTTCCCAGTGATGTACTGTAGATCCAGGCTAATCACGATGAACTGATGAAAGAAAAACGTGAAGAAACAGAATGCCACCAAGGATGACATTTCCACAGGTGACAGCTGTATGTTAACGAAGCAAAGGAACCCAGGTTATGTCATTGACTAAATATGGTGATGACCTTATTGGCCAGGCTGAATGCTCAGGTTTTTTTTTTTTTTAACCAATTGCCTAAAGGGCACTTATACCACCTTCCTGCCCAGGCCAATTTTCAGCGCTGTCACACCTTGAATGACAATTGCACGGTCATGCAATACTGTACCCATATGAAATTTTTATCATTTTTTGGAGACAGATAGAGCTTTCTTTTGGTGGTATTTAATTACCTCTTGGTTTTTTATTTCTTGCTAAACAAACCAAAAACTACTGAAAATGTTGAAAAAAATGTTTTAGTTTTTGTTATAAAATTTTGAAAATAAGTGATTTTTTTTCCTTCACTGATGTGCGCTAATGAGGCTGCAGTGATGGGCACTGATAGGCTGCACTGATGGCCACTGATAGGTGGCACTGATGGGCACTGATGAGGAGGCACTGGTAGGTGGCACTGATGGGCATTGACAGGCATCACTGATGGGCACTGAAAGGCAGCACTAATATATGGCACAGATAGGTGGCACTGATAGGCGGCACTGACTGGCACTGTTTGGTAGCACTGACTGGCACTGTTAGGCGGCACTGATAGGCAGCACTGACGGGCACTGATAGATGGCACTGATGTGCACTGATAGGTAGCACTGACTGGCACAGATAGGTGGCACTGACTGGCATTGATAGGTGGCACTGAAAGGCAGCTCAGATGGGCACTGATATGTGGCATTGATGTGCACTGGTAGGCACTGATACATGGCATTTATGTGGCACTGATGGGCACTGACAAGTGAAATTGATGAGCACTGACAGCTGGCATTGATGGACACTGACAGGTGGCACTGCTGGGGCTACACTGATCATCAGGGCACACTGATCATCAGTGCCCTGATCATCAGTGTACATGTCCCCTCTGAGAGATGCCGATTACCGGCTCTCCACTCCTCACAAGCTGTCAGCGTGACAGCTTGTGAGGAGAGAAATGCCGATAACCAGCATTTCCCTATTTACATGCGATCAGCTGTGATTGGACACAGCTGATCACATGACCAAGCCGACATCTTTTGGTTCTTTCTGGTGATCGATGATCCGCTGTGTCCCTAGCACCACTGATCACCACGCTGCATGCCCCCGGAGCCGCGCATGCGAGGTTAGAGTGGGAGGACATCATATGACATCCTCCAAGAATGAGAGAACCACCTTGTGCCCGTCATTTTCTTATATGGGGGGCGGGAGGCGGTTAAACTGCATAAACAAAGCAAATAAAGAGTATGGGAATCTGGGGGATATGTACCCATGAATAATAAATCTTGGCCCGCTCTGAATGCAAACCTAGTTCCTACTAGCCACCTTTATTGACTCTAGGCTCTCTGTGGATTAGTGGATTATCATGGTATAAGAGCAGTGTTTTGCTTCCTCTTAGGTATTCTTTTATATGTATTTTCAGAGCAATGCCACCTTGATGGCAATTTTATTTACCCCAGCCCAGGAAGAATTAGCAATAATAGATTTTAAAAAGTAAACAGGAGAAAAATCATTGTGATGCGAGGCTTTGTTATAAGAACAGTATGGTGAAAGTAATCAAATGTATTTAACTTTTACAGTTAATTACACATATATTTTTTTAAACTCACATATGCAGAATTAGCTTGGAAGCACCATGCACAGTATTAAAAGAATTTTACCTTTGAATAATAAAAGTCTCTTTAAATTTATAGTCCATTGCATGGGTCATATATTCCTATCAAGGAGTACAGTATTTTGCTGCCAGCTTCACTGATACCTCCATTATAATGAATCTGCAGTTCGCTAGAGAAACTAATCAAATACTAGCTGCAAACAATAAACAGCTTTCTGTCAGAGAATAAATGGCATTACCTTCAGCACTTAAGCGATTTTGAATCAGCAACTAAACAGGTGGCAAATTCCTATTTACTATACAAAAATATTATGAAGCATAAATAAAATTCATGTTCTAGGTTTTAAGCCTGGTGATCTGCTGACCATGAAAACAGCAGAGCAAAATATTCATTTTTTAAATGTAATTTATATTAAAAGCCAGAAATAACAAACAAATGTAATGGAGCGTGGAAAATTAAAAATGGAATATGCAGGGAGAAGGATAATGCAAGAAGGATCATAGCAGGTCTGAGTTCAGTGAAACATCACATTTTATGGAAAAATGTATTTAACCGCTTATTAACATGATTTTTCTGTATTCCTTATAAACAGATCAATATTAACATTTTGGAAATACAAAGTTTTCACCTTGAAAAAAATATTTCTATACTAGTTTAAAGTACAGTACTTTTCTCTCATTTTCTTGGGTAGATTGGGGTGCAGTTAAGTTTTTTTCCGTTTATTAAGAATTCACTGGGAGATTTGCCAAAGGAAACCTTTACTGACATTCACACAATTGGATGAATTTGGCACCCAAGTAGATTGTAGATTTACAATAGGATGAATGTACAGCAGGTGAATGCATCAGCCAGTTGACAGTCATCAAATACCACTTGCTGTGTACTTTAAATACAGGTAAACACCCTACTGGCGAATCTGCACAAGGAGGTTCTTCAGGGTTCTGAAATAGTTTCAGCACCAAAAAGGCTAAAGGTAATTGGACCTACCAGACCAATTCTGACACTTCTCGCATACATTTAAACATCTACATTTTTTGCTAGAAAAATTACTGAAAACCCCCAAACATTATATTTATATTACATTAGATAGATAGATAGATAGATAGATAGATAGATAGATAGATAGATAGATAGAATTTTTGTTTTGGCAGAGGCCCTAGAGAACAAAATTATGGATGTTGCAATATAATTCTAATTTTTATTTTAAAAACATACATATAATGATGTTATGCTGAGTAAAAATATACCGTATTTTTTGCTCCGTAAGACACACTTTTTTTCCCCCAAAAAAAAGGGGGGGAAATGTCAGTGCGTCTTATTGAGCGAATATAGAGCGGCCGGTCCGGTATTTCCGCCGCCGCCACCGTGTCAGAATACCGGGCCGGCCGCTCAGCTTTTCTGTGCAGCAGGACCTTACCTGTTCCTCGGTCCAGCGCTGTGCAGTCTTCCCGCGCTGGCAACTTTAGTGTGGGCACCTGGCTGTGACAGCCGTGTGTTCACTGCGCATGTGCGAGAAGCGCTGCGCTTTGAGAATGGTCCAGCGTCTTCTGGGACACATGACAGGCACAGCCGGGTGCCCCCACTAAAGAAGGACAACTCCGCAGAAGTGGGAGCGGGTACCTGTCAAATTCAGGTACCCACTTCCCCTCCCTCCCCAAAGGTCTGCAGTCTCTTGGTCATCCCCTGTACTGTCTGCAGTCTGGTCATCTCCTTTACTGTCTGCAGTCTCTTGGCCATCCCTGTACCGTGTCCGCAGCCTCTGGTCATCTCCTGTACCGTGTCCGCAGTCTCTGGTCATCTCCTGTACTGTGTCCGCAGTCTCTGGTCATCTTCTGTACCGTGTCCGCTGTCTCTGGTCATCCTGTACCTGTCCGCACCGTGTCCGCAGTCGCTGGTCATCTCCTGTAGTATGTCTGCAGTCTCTGGTCATCTCCTGTACTATGTCCGCAGTCTTTGGTCATCTCCTGTACTATGTCCGCAGTCTCTGGTCATCTCCTGTACTATGTCCGCAGTCTCTGGTCATCTCCTGTACTATGTCCGCAGTCTCTGGTCATCTCCTGTACTGTGTCTGCTGTCCATTGATTCAGAATATTTTTTTTTCTTGTTTTTCTCCTCTAAAACCTAGGTGTATCTTATGGTCAAATGCGTCTTATAGAGCGAAAAAAATACGGTACCTAACATGTCTTATTGCGTCCGTGGAACGGCGCCAATCTACGGTACTTAAAAATCTCCATAGGTGACGCTTTAAACTCATTTACAGGTTACCAGTTTAGAGTTACACAGGAGGTCTGGTGGTAGAATTATTGCTCTTGCTCTAACATTCACGATGATATCTCACAAGTGTGGTGCAGTCACCGTTTACATATGTCTGCAGGACTTACATATGTGTTTGCATTTGTGTATATGCACGGGAGGATGGCGGAGCTTTAGTATTTTTTTCAATTATTTATTTCATGTAAAATTTTTGTTTCTACACTGTCTCTTTATTTCTTTATTAACTTTATTGCTATCCTGATTATGGGGAGATATGGGGTCTATTAGACCCCAAATCTCTCCTCTGGCCTCCAATGCAGCCAAGAAGACACATATTGGCCTGATCAGCTCCTTTCCTGGCCAGGTAAACAAAGAGCCAAAACCAGAAGTGATAAAATCCTCTGAATCACAGAGAGGGAGGAACAGTTCCTCTCTGTGCAGTGCAGACGTTGCTGGTCGCAGCAGTCCCCAGCTCCCCAGTCAGACAGGGGAGCTCAGGAAAGGCAGTGGAGGTGGCAGGAGGAGGGCCCCCTTTCCACCACCCACAGAAGTTATCAACTGGCTGTTCAGCCACTTTAATCACTTCTGTTAAAGAGCCCAATGCCAGTTGTAAATTTTGATTACCAGGATGATGACTGCATCATCCCGGTATAACCCTTTCCTCCCAGGATGTCATATGATATCCACCCAGGGTATAAATGGAAAACAATGCCAACATTTAGGAGACAAAATTGCTTCCTCTGTCTCCCATAACTAACCAGCTAGTATACCAGGCATGTGGGCAGGTGTCCTTATAACAAGAGCTATGAGTGTGCAGCCCCCCGTTGCGCTGATACCAGCCCACATGCCCATCAACAAAAAAAAAAACTCTCTTTCCAAAGCACCAGTGCCTGAGGATAATGAAAGGAGTGACGTATGTATCACATCATGCCCTGTGAGAGAAAACAAATAGGTTTTAGGGTCTCTCAAACCCCTAATCAATTCACCATGCTTGCAGGTAAAGTAAAGAATGTGAATAATCAGTATACATGATTTCAGGTACTTATACAGTGCCATCAATTTATGCAGCGCTTTACATATATATTGTACATTCACATCAGTCCCTAACCTTCAAGGGGCGTACAATCGAAGGTCCCTAAATTCCATTTATACATACACATACTAGGGCCAATTTAGACATGATCCAATTAACCTACCAGCATGTCTTAGGAATGTGAGAGGAAGCCCATGCAGGCCCAGGTAGAACATGCAAACTCCAGGCAGGAGGTGTTGTGGTTGGGATTCAAACAAACAATTCTAGTGTTGCTAGGCGGAAGTGCTAACCATTTAGTCACTGTGCTGCCCATACAGTATGTAGTTGTTTGACTTCACAAGCAAGCAGCTGCATTATTGAATCAAGCTAAAAAAAATGTTAAAATTGCTATATTCAACTCCCTTATTTATTTTTCTACTTTTATAACTATTTTTCTTTTAGCTTCTGAAGATATTTCAAATGAATGTGGACAATGTGTTGAAATAAAGCATAGTCCGTGCAGCTAAAGTAAAGCATTACTTTCCTTTCTATGACTAATAATTATTTTTTTTTAAATTACATGATTTATATAGCGCCAACAGTTTGCTCAGTGCTTTACAATATAATCTAAGGTTCTATACATACTATAGCCAATTTAGACAGGATCCAATTAACCTACCAGCATGTCTTTGGAGTGTAGGAGGAAACCGGAGTACCCGGAGGAAACCCACGCAGGCACAGGGAGAACATGCAAACTCCAGGAGGTGCCACGGCTGGGATTCAAACCAGCGACCCTAGTCCTGCCAGGAGGAAGTGCTAACCATTAAGCATACACAAACACTTGTAAAAAAAGGTACTTCATTAAATGTAATTCCACTAATATTTACCTTCCAGATTCCAGCAATGTCTGAAACTGTACCGTGGCATCTCATCCAGTGCGGGCAGCTTAGAGAAGGAAGGAGCATGGGTTTTCCCTTCCTCACTGCTCAAACTCAGCTTCTGCGTCCTGCCACTAGCACAATTTTTAGACCAGAGGGAACTCTAGGGAAGGAGTTTCCTGCCAGTTTCCTGTGACAGTTTACATGTTATGTGCAATTAAACCATGGCAACATCTAATGTTTGTGTAGTATTATGTTCAGCAGACTGTGTTCTTCTATTGTTGTGATTTAGATGATGTTCAGA